ACCATGTAACTCCGAACGACCTATCCTATGTTGCAACAGCACCCAACACACCCACCAAACCCACATATCAACCAGTCAGCCGCACCACATGATCCCCTTCTCAAACCCCAACACAACGAATTACACACCAATACCAACCGAACCAAACCAGAATGCGCACGAACAGCAGATAAGCACGACCAACAGCCACCCAGACACAATGGGGACACACTGCACCCCAAGAAAAAACACCCACACAACAAACAAGATATCATCCAAAGAACTCCTTCTCATAGCTCACAATACCAGATCCCAAAACCCACACACCCTACACAACACCGACAACTTCCACCAGTAAAAACATTGAGCTACAGACCTCGGAGACAGCACATCTGTCTGTTCACACTGTGAACAGCTAACAACATCAAGCCATATCATAGGACGCAGACTTCGGCAGCCTGGCACACGCACAAGATCTGAACAAAGCTCACTGATTATAATTTAACTGCTTCCCCTTCAATCCGCACTAAGCGATCAACCGACCCCAAAACCAACTCACAAATACAACTGGCGCGCTTTTTCCGCCACACAATCAAGCGAGACCTCGGAAACGTAAGAGCTAACAATACGCGGCCAAATCAACAACGCAATCCAAACACCACTCCACACAAAATCCGATTCCACATCCGCAGCCTCGAGCCCAATAACCTACTATCCAGCATTACCCATTGTCCCAAACCCCGCACAGCACAGCAAAAAGCCAGAACTGCGAGAACACATCTACGTAGCACCCCAGCAAGACCACGAAACGGGACGGCAAGAAGGAGACGTTAGATGAGAGAGCGCTCACTACACACCGAAACAACAAAGAGGCACAAAACAGACAAGGACAACAGTAGGCGCAAACACAGCAGCTCTTACAAGAAGCTGCCGCCAAAGCTTTAAGGGCCTTCGAAAGGCGTCCAAGGCCACTGTGAGTGAAGAGTAGAAAGGCCATCTCGACTAATGCTGTGGCCTGGATTCACTGACTTCACCCCCACCCCTTGTCGTCTCTTGTTTAGAGTGCAAAAGATGGGTCTTCTGCTACTTCAGACAAAAGTGTGAGTGCTCATGTATGTTTCTCTCCCCATCATGAATCACTCTCTAACAAAACAGTTGTACATTACACAGCAGAAGAGAAGAAGAAACAGACAGAAAGGGCAAAAGCTTCGGACAAAAGTGTGAGTGCTCATGTATGTTGCTCTCCCCCCCATCATGAATCACTCTCTAACAAAAACAGTTGACATTACACAGGAGGAGGAGAAGAAGAAACAGACAGAAAAGGCAAATGGCAAACAAAAGACCAAGAATGTGAGTCTTCGTTTCATTCCTCATTACCCGAAAGTAATATTTACCCTTTTTTTGTGCCTAACATACATCGCCTTCTCTCTCTACTGCTTTTCTATTCCAGAAAAGGCTCAGTTCAGATAACCCGAGCAAAAAATTAGCTACCAAGAAATCAAAGGTAAGTCAAAAATGGATACTGTTCCAGCGCGATAAGATGAGTTGTAGCTAAACATCTTTTATTGTGTTGTGCTATGCTTTCACCTTCTCAGAAAAACGAAGAAACCCAGGTGGAGGTAATGACACAACAGCAGAGAAAAAGGCAGGAGTCTACTCTCGCCCCTCACTTATGTTCTTTCTACAGGTTCATTCCAGGGCGCAGCAGGAGCTCGATGGAGGAGGATTTGTCGGTTGGCTCAGATGTAGAGTTTGAAGACGAGTTCGGTTTGAAAGAGCAGTTTGTTAGCTTGGGTACTACCGACATGATGATGATCACATCGGCATTGAATCCCTCAGTGAGCTTACACAGCACGTCAGCACTACAGAGGACCTCACCTTCAAATCCTTGGATTACATTCAAGAAACTCAGTGAGGTCAGCAGCGTCCCAACAAGAAACCAAAGATTGCGTGGTAGGAGTTGTTGCAAGTATGATCAGGGGGGGGAGCATCGATGTAATTAAATCTCTCGTAGGTTGGAAAAGAGACCATTTCAAGGAGGGTGATGCAGCTAGTGAAGAGATTTGGAACTTTGCATTTTCCCAGTTGACTGACCTTTTGATGACACACAAACTGTGCCGACCTTGAAGCCGGAGAAGCGACATTTCGAAAAAGTGGCCGTCCTTGGATTCGAAAGACGTTCGAGCTCTTCCAGGTCATTGATACTACACCCCCCCCCCCTTCAAAAACCTTCTTTATTTGTGAACATGAAGCCCTCTGTTTTTCCATCCCCCCGGGCCATCTCCATTCTACCCCCAAAAGCCCTAGAAACCAGGTATTTACCCCACTATTGACCCTTAAATATTACCAACCTACGATTCTTTCCACAAATAGTAGTAAAATTCCCGTAGAATCCTCTTTTTTATCCCCCACCCCCCTAAACTGCTCTTTTTTGCAACGGTTTTATAGATGTGTGAATGAAAGCACGACTCCCTTGGGCAGTTATTTCATTCCCAGTTCCTGTGGGAGTTGAACTGACAGGATGTTCTTCGAAGTCAACAGGGGCCACGTCATCACTGTGACTAGTGCTTTTGAAATATGCTGGTGTTGTGGGACTGAGTCGATCTTAATCGAATAGGTTCGAATTCGATTTGATTTAGAGTGTGGGTTAATGTATTCCTCGACATAATAATGGGGTCTCGTTTTAGAGTCTGGGTTAATGAGACAGTTAATGGGGGTTCTCGTTTTGCAGGAGAGACGTTAGGCTTAGGTCCAAAGTGTGCCGTGGCATTAAATGTCAATGATGTCATCGCAGCCTTGAGATTTCAAAAAGAGACTGGCTATTTATTTGCTGCTAGTTTCGTCACGCCTGCCTGGTATCCATCTCTAAGTAATTGTCAAGCTGCAAACGATAATTGCTCCAGAAAATCCTTCTGCCAAACAATGAATCGACTCTGCGAGCCATTCTGTGCAGTTTTCAGGTGCTTTTGGCAGAAAAAAAGTCATCTGCCAGAGACAAACACCCTCCTGGCAGAAAACAAACACCCTCCTGGCAGAAAAAAAACACCTCCTGGCAGAAAAAAACACCTCCCGGCAGAAAAAGCCATGCCGGCTTTCGGAACTGCAGAGTTCGAGGGCTTCTGCAGAGTGCACGCCAGCCTGCTTCAGGAAAAAAAGTGTTTCTGCGGACTCAAAAAGGGCGTTTCTGCAGAGTTTTTCATTCCCAGTGCACCGATGAAAACATTAGATTCCTTCAAAACTTACAAGACTGCGCACACAACTTCACACGGCACAAGGTGTCAAACGATGACCTGCAATCCGTAACGGAAGCATATTGTCCACCAGACTGTGTCCGAGTGCAAGAGCCAGATGATGATTCAAATGAAGAAGAAGGATCCGACGACATTCCTTTTCCTAGTTTCTTCAATCAGCTCGACGAAGATGTGACAGATGAAGAGTTCATGTTCCTTGAAGCCACGATGCAGGGGTGCTCGTTTGATAGCATCATGCTTAAACGGAAGAAGCAAACGGAAGATGCTGACACGGTGAAGCTGCCAATTCCTACCAATGATTGCGAAGACCCATTGGGAGAGGAAGGAGACTTTGTTGAGTATACTGTTCACATACAAAGTCATACCGTCGTGAACGCAACCGGTGCCGGAATAGGCCATGGTCAAAAGCCATTTCACATCCGTGATATTGTGGAGGTTCTGTTGACTAAGACTACCGTTCGAGCAAGGGAAGCAATTTTTGAATACAACAAAGGAGCGAAGGTGCATGAAGCAAACGGATCTATCGCTAGTATCTTGGAATGGGCGAGTGCAGGAAAACTTGACCCACTACAACGTCGTGCGTTCGAGGCCATTATATCGGCCTTTCTGTTGACATTCTACAATGAGGTGGTAGACAAGGAGAACGATGGCTTAATTGAAGTCACTGTGATCGAGAAGTATCGCAATACGAAGAAAAACCTGAAATGATTGAAAGAAGGCGAAGGAACCCAGCTAATATGTCTTGTCCACGGTCCTGGTGGCAGTGGCAACACTACCGTGATCAACCTTACCACAGCCTACGCACACGAATTCTGTAAACTGATTGGCTCTGACTTCACTTCACGAACGATAGTTATTACAGCCTTATCAGGCGTAGCCGCTACGTTACTTCACGGTGAGACAACACACAGCGCTATCGGGATAAATCGGAGAACAGTCGAGGATGTTGACTTCTTACAATGATGGGACGGATCAAGATTGGTGATCATTGACGAAGTTTCATTTGCGTGCGAAGGCCATATCAACAAGATTTACAAGAACCTTCAAGACATCAAGGGAAACACATTCAAGCCTTTCGGTGGACTTAACATGGTTTTCGCGGGAGACTTCTCACAGTTAACTCCACCCAAACGAGATCCCCTTTACAAACGAGAATGCGCTGCTTTTCAAGGTACTCTTAATGCGTATATCGAGTTGGATGGAATGCATCGATTTCGAAATGATATTCCTTGGGGCGAAAGACTTAAACGTTTTTGAGCGGGGAAGCCAACCAGGGATGACATAATGTACATCAACCATCACTGTGTCGTGTCCAAGAACCATAAACCAAACTCCAACATTCAAGTTGCATGCCACTATAGTTGGGAACGAGACGTGGTCAACACTTCAGTGTTCGAGCAATTCTGTGTCGCAAATACGCCCGCCGATGCAGACGATGTTTACATGGGGGCAATTATGATTTTGATGGACAACATTGAAATGTACAATGATCACAAGCAGTACGTTCCAGTAACAAGCAACCGCATCAAGAAACACTTCTGGACAACATGTGGCGAATCGGATTGTGACATGGACAACGGACGTGTTGATCCGGCATTGAAGATGTACTACAACTGCCCTCTGATGCTGACAAAGAAGAATGAAGACGTACCAAATAGACAGGCAAAGGGTTCAAGAGTGTTCCTACGCAAGGTACATGTAAAGCCCGGAGAACAGCCCTTCATCATTAAACTCCATTGCGGTGTCAGAATCCGTGTCTTCCGTGTCAGCCAAATCGACAGAATCACAGCCAAACACGAGATGAAAGACATGTTGCCAAAATGTTTCGATGTCAAGACACACGGAGTGTCCTTCAAGTGCAAGATGAAAATCGAAAAGGAAAAGATTGAGGTTCGCATGAAAGGAATCCAGTTTCCTCTTGTTAGCAATTCAGCGACGACAGGACACAAGTTGCATGGCTACACAGCACCGGAACTGTTGGTGTGGAACTGGCACTATGCAGATATTTGGGTATACATGGTACTTTCAAGAGTAAGAGAAATGAAAGGCCTCTTCTTGTGGAAACCACTGTCGCTCGATTTAACAAGGTACCAGATGCCAGATGAAATGGTACATATGCTGGAAATTTTCAGTCGCTACATTCCGTTCGATACTCTTTCCGCACACAATTACGATGAAATGTTACAGTCCAATGCAGCATTCAATTAACCAATTCCTGATAACTTTTTGCATTATGTACTCTGACGTGTTCCAACATTGTTCCTCGGGTTTTGAACTTCAATGTACACGACAGAAGATGACGTTTTCCTCGTTCCGTTTCGATGACAGTTACTGGTACGTTAACGGTTTCGGTGTCGGTACCGGTACCGGTTACAGTCGCGTTACCGTAAGGGCACGCACACACGTGTACAGACGTTAAAAAACGTTAAATAGAAGTTTGGTACTTACGGATACACATGACCGTTGATTCTGCAACTGAAGTGCGGCTACTCTAATTTACGCAGTAAACGCGGGCGAATCGATTTCGGAGTGCAACTGAGGGGGTAACCAAAAGGGGCGTCGTCTCGGGGAGACGTAATTAAAACCAGCCAACTCCGTGGTTGGCGACATCACGTACTTTTATGGTACTACGTTTCTGCAACAGTAGTTGCACAGTGTCAGTATCTGCTTCCCACTACTCCCAGGTAACTCTACATACTGTCAGGATCAAGGACAGTATGCTACCGGTACGTAGAAAAGGTATGGTATCGGCTCTACGGCAAAGGGAGCTTTGAAGCGACCATCCGTACAGCCTGCATGCTGAAGCAGCAAGTCCATCTCATCATCTCATCACCAGGACGGACGACGGATGACATCTCCAAGTTGAAGTATTCCGACTACAAGCCCCATCCAGACTTCCCTTTTGCGCTCAGTTGCAAGGCGTATTGGTCCAAGAATATTTCGGAAGAACGACAATGCCCCGACCAAATCATTCTTGGATCGATGGATACCGACTTTTGTGCTCTGCTCGGATTGGCCAATTACATGGAGGCGTCCTTCAACTATGGGTATGGCGCCGCTGGTCGGGAAAATGCATCCCTCTTTACCCCCGAAAGCGATCCCAAGTTGGCTTCCAAGCACTGCAACGCAGCCTACCGCAACATTCTCAAGGCTGTCTTTTTGTCGGCTCCATTTCTGGCTGTGGCGGTCCTTATTGCCGGTGTTCTTGGGAGTCACAGCATTCGGAAGTTTGCTGCAACTCTGGCAAGAGGGATGGGTGCTACTGCTGACGAAGTTGATATTCGAGGTCGCTGGAAGGCTCGCTTGTCTGGACTGGTTGTTGATGCCTACATTTCGCCTGAACAGCCCTGGATCGACGCCCGTGTTGCCGAAAAGCTTTGCATGGGGGCTCCTATTGCCTACAAGCTACACCCGGATGCCAAGAGAGTGACTCCCACCTGGTTGATTGAGCATGTGGCGCCAAGGACGCATGCATTTTACGACAGTGTCAACGACATTTCCCTTCACTTGGCTCTGCCTCTTTTGTGGGCTGCTCTTGACGAATCTTGGGAGGAGAGGATGGAGCCTCCCATTCGTATTAGGATCCAAGATGCGTATGAGTTGATCAAGGCCGATCTTCCTGAGGGCGTGAATCCGGTGGTGAAAGTGCCTTTCTCTATTTGGACGCACAACACCAAGCTCCACATCAACGAAATTGAGCCGATGGATACGGGAGGTGGCGGCACGGCTGGTGGCACTACGACTGGTGGCACTACGGGAACTACGGACCAGGCAAGCCCTCGTCAAGTTGCCAATTAGTCGCGGCAGCTGACGGCTATGCAAACGCAGCAGCAGGTACGAACGAACGAGGAGATTTTGACACGGATTATCGCGCAGCACAACCAGCTTCAGCAGCTCATTGCGCAGGAAGGTACGACCCGCGACAGTACGGCTGCTGCCTTGAGAGGCTGGTTGGAGACTTGGCGTGGAGAGCTGACGAAACTGAATGGAAATATTTGCAGGTAAGTGTAGACTTGTGGCTGTTGGCTATTGCAACCATGGCTATTACTGCTGGTATTTTTGTATTCTTTTTAGGATTGCTGTTCAGCCTCTAAGGATGGCAACACCTGATCAGGTAGATGCTAATCTCTTTAGAAATGGGTTGACTGTGGAAAGGACTCACTGGAATGGCCAGACTTTCCTCAGGTTCAGACGAGTTGTGGCCGCCCCTGCTGACAGTAGGCCTGCCAATCTCGCCAAGTACAGAACTGTTGGCTCTGCTTGGGAAGAGTGGATGCATGGTATTGGTGGCAACAAGCCAGCCAAGAACTTCACTGCTGAAGATATCAGGGCTTGCAAGTCAACCTACTCCAGGAGGAAGCCACTCTGGACTCTCCTGGCTACACTTGTCAATGCTCAGAAAGCTCCAGCTTGGGTCATCACCAAGATTGAGGTGCACTACAATTGCAAAGGGAGTATTTTGAATATTGCAGCCGCCATCAAGCAGGACACCATTATGGGCAGTCTGCATTAGGATCTTTGTGTTACTCGTGCTCAGTAAAATTGACCTTAGTTTAATAAGCATGCTAGCCATGCCTAATAGTTAGTCTGTTACATGAGGACTTGTGGATTTTCGTGGACTGGCTTTTCGTTTTCGTGCGGGTAGCCACTTGTGCTTTTCGAACCCGGTAGCTACCAGGTAGCTAGTAGTAGCTACTAGCTAGCTAGTAGCCAGCGATTTTGAGGACTTGTGCTTTTCGAACAACGTACGAGTGGAGATAGAGGTGCGTCAGAGCTTGAACGACGTTATCTTAACAGTGGTACTAGTAGTAGAGGTGCGAGCCTCATTTATCTTACGACCGAGGCGGTGACCTCCTCACTGGTATGCAGGAACGATCGACGACCAGCTAGCTTTCACCAGGTGTTCGATACTCAATACCTGGATGGTTTCAGCTTCACACAATGATTAGTAGCTTTAAATATCTAATGGATACATCCGGTAGGATCCCCTACTACTCAAGTACACGATCTTAGTATTAATCTCAGTTTGATCTCTAGCTTGAGTACCGGTAGGAACCAGTCCGAGTTGTGCTGCAAGAATCTTCAATAATAGCAGTGAATGGATAAAATCCAGTGGGCAAACACCTACAAAATAGGTTGACAAGCTCGCAGAGAAGCTCGTTGCAGTGAGTAAAAAGGAAACAAATACTCGACAAGATGGGCTGCTGCCAAAGTGGCCAAAGCCTTCAAGAACAAGTTCGGGCCGATATGCTGAGGGCGAGAGAGACGCGAGCGGCACGACTCAGGCCGTCGAATGATGAAGTTGCAGGCTGGGACAATGCCATTCAACAATACCATCAAGAGGGGCCACCGTCTCTCCCCTGGGATGAAATTCATGATGCATTTCCATATCTTCTTTCAGCCCATGCCCTATTCCACGGCGCTCGGGATTGGAGTAGGCCACGAGTATGCCAGAAGATAGATGAACATTTCTTCTGTACTGATGAGCCTTCCATCATTCTCTTCATCTCACATACATGGGAAAACAGACACTATCCGGACCCCAGTGGTCGGCAGTGGCAGGCTTTGCAACATCTGCTGAGCATGATAGTGGATCTCGCAGATACCCTTCAAGACCTGTTCTCACCTTCCTCTTCATCAGCGAATATCCGTGAGCTTACCGCCCGAATCCCACTATTGGTGGAGGGCGTACTCCCTGTCGTTTCCCTCCTTCTTTCGATGCCCGGCGAAGATATCCCGGATTCTGATACCGTTCTGAGCAAGATTGCTATTTTCTTTGATTACATGTGCCTCCCTCAGAACAGCGAAGTAGACAACGTCCAAAGGGATGAAGCACAAGAGCAAGTCTTTCGCAGAGGTCTTCAAAAGATGCACATGCTTTGCACACTCTCGAGTGTCGTTGCTCTTCGATTCGACTCGGATGATTTCAGCAAGAGCGCTTGGTGTATCAGTGAAATGTATGTGCCGACAACTTCTTTCGGGGCGTTCTCATATGAGGTGTTTCCCGAAAACTATGGGTCCCCGGCCCGTTGGTACACCGCGCTGGACAGTGGAACCTTGCAACAAGCTGCGGGGGTGCCTGCCAACATCAAGTCAAGAGTTGAGCTTTTAGCATCTCAATTCCACCTCGCGACAACCTCCGAGGATGCAGTCACGATCGTCCACGCACTCATCGTCTGCGCCTCTCCTTTTTTCACAGCAACTTTGCACTTCCAACAGTTGCAAAGTGCACTCGACGTTGCTTCCAGAGTTGGTAACTTGGATGCCTTCAAGCCAAAGATGTTGTGCGGCAATGAGCCAGACATCATGTATACACAATCCGCTTCAAATATGGGAACCGTGAGGACACGGACTGAAAAGGCGCTTCTCTATGAGCTCAATAATCTTGGTCGTGACCAAGTGATACTCGTCGATCTTGGGCGCATGCTTTCAAACATCATGATTTTCCATGGGATGGTTTGTAAATCTAAAGCCGATCTGACTTACGTTGCTCTCTCCGCCTTCCAAACTCAGGAAGGTTTGTTTCAGGGTTTCTTTTATGATTGCTTGCAAGCTTGGCTGGGGAGAACCGAGAGGAGGAAAGAATTTCCGGTGGTCCTCAAACCATTGGCGTTCCAATCGGAGAATGACAACTTCTTCACTTTCATCAGCCCGATCCAGTTTGAACAGCTCACTTCTGGGCCCGTTATGCATCCCGAGTTGATGGTGTACGTCAACCGCTTCCGTAAAGTGTTCAGCTACTGTCTTCCTCTTTCCTCAAGCATGGAAACCGGGGTGCTTGATTCACAATGGGGGGATTCACCTCGGCTACGGCACCTTGCACTCGATGGCTCACCAGATACGGACCTGTTGATGGATCACTTCTCGGAGCAACCGCCAAGCTGCCCCTCGAAAGTCATCCAAATGTACGAGCTTTCCCAGTCATTCTGAAACAATGGGAAGTGGATCCTAGAGAATTCCGGAATGTCTTTAGAAGTGCACACAACACCAGAAGTCCATCTCTAGATTCCAAACGGATGGGCGGTTGGTGACATGTTTCAGTAAAATTTACTTAATCCAGTCACTCCTTGCAGAAATCGTATGATGGGTGCATTATTGTTATTATGAAGGGATCTATTCGGGTATTGCAAACAGTTTTCATCGTTTGAGCTGAATTATGTACAGTATCTGAACTTTGAAATGGATATGGCAAAAAGCCACGCAACAAGGCTCAATCACCCAAGATGAATGGCAGGAGCACCTAAAAAGATCGAGGCGCTGGCACATGTACAACAGTGTTCTGCTCGAGGCCTGATGTCATACACGAATTTGGTCTGCGGCTGCAGGTGGACGGCCTCTAGCTAGCAACCATTATAATCTGTCGCTCCCATTTGCAATACGCTGCTTGACTTTCAAGCTCTCCAGGCTTGCAGTCCGAACATCCCAAGGCCAGCGGCCACTAGAGATAACCTCCCTACTCTAAACCCCCTCATATTTTCAATTTTTTCACCTTCAAGATTGACTCGTTGCTATGGGTTAGAGGGAACTATGATGAGCATGAGGTGAAGAGAGAGGAGGGCAAGAGGCAGGAGCACGAGTCGAGCCATGGAGGTTCATAAAGATCTGGAGACACTTTGGTACACTGGTCTAGCTAGCTACTGTACGCACCAGTAGCTCTACTGGCTGTCCGAGCACCCACCCAGCATTGCTTCAACTCGACACTGTTCTGGCTGGCATCTCCATTACGGCGGCAGTCCTTTGATTACCAACACTCTTCTTGTGAGTGAAGGGGACCTCTGGAATCTGCAATGCATCTCTGCAGTACATCTATCTTGATAGCATGGTGGCTTGTTTTGTGAAAAAAGATCCTTCGATGACTGCTTCCGATCCGCAGTGCGTTCCTCTAGCTAGACGCAGACTTGCCTGCCCGACATGGTCGACCCGCAAACTCCGTGGTTGGCGTAACCGCCCTAGCTAGCCAACTCGGTCGTTGGCGATTCGATTCCAACCCAACCAACTTCGTGGTTGTTGACAAACCTCAGTCACCACATACCGGTGCATGTTGAGATGGATGGAAAGAAATAGCCTGCCAAAATGAGACTCAAAGCGTTTAGGAGAGACCAAACCAGAAAAAATGATATCAAGACGAATATGATCCGACAATGCCTAGTCCTTCCGCAAAGGTTGGTGGCCGTTGTTATGGTGGTGTACCTTTCGGATGTTTGGTGGACACACACTCGTCTGATGGCTTCAGGCGATCATTATCGGCTTGCTGACAATATCACTACGCCCATGATGAGTCAAAGTACTCCAGTCCATCTTTTACCCGCAAAATCAACACAAGAAGATGATAGGAATGATCACACCATAGTCCCCCCGTCGAATGCTGACTTTCCCTTGGAACCAATTCCCCGTCCTCCCTTGGAGTCGATCGTCCAGGGTTGGAACATTACAGGAGACGCCTCGTGGCTGTTGAATGTGGCCATTATTGGGTTTCCCAAAACGGGCACTACCACATTGATGAAGTATCTGCACAAGAGTCGCCAAGTGCATATCTTTGACGAAGAGCGCTGTGAAATGACATACAATCATCATGCACGTCTCACAGAGAGTTTGTACAGGGATATTCCTCCGGGTCGTACGATACGAGGGATCAAGTGCCCAAGAGATGTGGAATCCAAATGGGCACGCCAAAATTATCAAACCTTTTTTCCAAAGACCGACTTTATGGTGGGTCTACGACATCCCGTACTCTGGTTTGAGTCCTTTTACAATTTCAAAGTTGACATTGGCCGCCCCATGAAGCCGGCTGAAACCCTCACCGGAAGATGTTACCGACAGCATCAAGGAGTGTGTACCTTTCGAGGCAATTTTCACTTGTTCCTCGCCAATCTGGGAAAAACCAATATACTCTCCAATCCAGCAGAAATGGCATTGATTCCACGCGAATATCACAAAAATGTTCAACCCATTCCCTTGCAAGGACGCATCTTTTTGTGGGAGGTTTCACAACTCCAAACGGATCAAGAATTGCTCCGAAACAACAACAACCATTCATCCGTATTCTTACAGCAACAATACAAACACAGCAATCTCCAATTCCGACAAGACTTGCAACAATTTCTACGATTGGACGATCCACTTCCCGAAATGATCAAAATCAAACCTGGAAAACAGCATCCCAACAACCAAATAGCCCAACGAGTGTCGGCAAACAAGATTGATATTTGCCAACCACGATATGAAGAGCTTCGTGAGATTCTCATGAGACAGAGCAAACTGGCGGCCACATGGATTCGAGAGTACTTTTTGGATGCGCCGGGAGTGTACGTGTCGCAAAAGGAGCACTTTTCTCAAGTGATTTTGAAACGATGGGAACAGGATCCTTGTGATTTCCGGAACACAACACTACTACTAGCTACTTAGAAGTCCATCTCCAGATTCCAAACAGCCAGCGATCAGATTGGAAAATGGTTTATGTTCAGGTCATCTGCACTAAATATACACGGTATTATCTGAACTGGGCAATCGATATGGCAAAAGTACAGCAACAATAAATGCGCAGTCACAGAAGGTAAACGGCAGGTTGCTTTTGTCCTGGCAACCAGAGAGCAGCCCACTTTTTGACACATTTTAGGCTGGTACCGGTGCTACTCTCGTTTTCATCTTGGTCGTGAGCGGCTCCGAGGTGATCTCCCCAATCTCGCACTCGATTTGAAGGTTGTAGGGAGCTCCCTTGCATCTGTTGTCCGATGGTAGCAGCGGCCCGGGGTGATTCATGTCTTGATCTGGTCTGGCACATGCAGTCAACGACCATGTCATTGGAATGACTTTCAACCTTGATGTCGGAACAACGCAAGGCCAGTGGATACGGGTACGCAGTGCGGTACCTGGTACCGGTACTATTATTACCGGTAGTACAAGTATTGGCCTCTGCTTGCCAGCTGGTGTTACATAGCTCTACTGGTTTCAACTGGCCTTGTCGTAGTGGAAAAGATAAATGAGCTGGCATAATGGGATTCCTCGATTCCTCAGTCTGGCTGGCGAATTGTGTCTTGATTCAAGGTTAGATTTAACGAAGTTATCTGAACAATGAACAATATAAGGTTAAAGGTGTTGAAGAAACGTCATTAGTGAACCTTTAATCCGTAAGGATGTACGATGTACCGGCGAGCCGCGGAAGCCTTTTTGATTTTCATCAGTCATGTCATCATTGCAAGCGCAATGGAGGGTCGTGCGAAAGCCCTCTTTTCCTTTTATCATCATCTCCAGTCTCAGATTGTGATGCCTCACTGTCACACTCATCGAGATCAAGATCGACTCGACTGTCACTTGGGCTCCATTCCAATGAAGATGATGATGATGACGATGAGCAGACGAAAACGACGACGACGAAGGAGACTTGTCATGGCGTGGCTTGATCTGGTTGTGCTTGTGCTGCTAGTAGGTTCAGTGGTGACCCCCGTGTCCCACGCACAAGATCCTCAAATCAACACTACGTCATCATCGTTGTTTCCCTATTCCTTTGAGGATTTGCCCCGGTGCCACCAGACATCGGCGGAATTGACGGCGGTGAATCGAACGACGGCCGTGGATCCTTGCATTCTCTACGACACTCTGGAAGAACTTTCTGCAAATGCAACAATGAGCAATGTGACGACTATCATTACGGTAGTGGGCGTGTTCAGTTCCGACTCGGACAATTCTCGCGATGGTGGAATGGTGGCGGTCCAAGCCCTGAATGCCGACAATGATGGACGGGGAGCGGCCATTGGCTACTACAAGGATCACTATGTGCAATTTCGATTCCTCGCTGGTGTGGCCGGCAATCGCAATCAGTTGGGACCTGATGCGTACGCCACAGCCCATCAGACCATGCTTCGCATTTTGTTGGAGGACGTCAAACCAAACTACATTTTGGGCACGCGCAGTTTCGACGCGGCACTGGAACGACCCATTGCAGGAGAATATCGCACCATGCTACTCGCCCAAGTCGGTCCGCAATCCTTTTACACCTCCTCCTCCGAATCGAATCATCACATTTTTGGAGCTCACATTCCCAGTGAAGGATACGGAATTCCCGCCTTTCAAGCTTTGCGCTTTGCCGTCAACACGGACCGACAACAGCCAATCCGCATCGTCTACCGCGATCGATCCGAATTCTTTTACAGTACCTGTCGAGCCGTCTACGATCGAGCCATGGAGGAAGGTTTTACACAACAAACAGAAGCCATTGAATACAATCCCAATGATGATCATGATCAGGATGGAATTCCCAATCAGGACGACATTGACTTTTTACAAGGCGTCGCCGATCAAGCGTGCAGTGGCAATGACGACGACAACACGGGAGTTGCCATTTGGGCCTGTTTAATGTCGGACACCGAAGTCAATACTGTCCTCGATCGATGGCGTCACAATGGTTGTCGCTTCAACATGTTGTGGCTCACTGTGGCATCCTGGGCATGGGCACAACGATTTCCCGACATGGTCCCCTACATTCAATCGGGAGGACAATGGCATAAATCCATGAAATACGCCGACGAGTACTTTGACAGTGGACAAGCCATGCTGGATCACATGACACGACAATTTGGATACGTACCCAGTTATAGCGCACTGGGAGCCTACCATGCCATTTATCTCATGTATCAAAATGTCCGCAAATTCTTTCAGGGCAAGGATCACCCGCAAGTGGCACAAGTGTTTGCGTCTCCCGCGCAATACGAAGAATTGCGTCGCAGCATGTTGGATTTGAGTTTGCCTCATACGTTGTACGGACCCACGTCGTTTGACGAACATCGACGCAATGCTGGACGAGGGAGTGCCGGAATGCAATGGGATGTGCCCGAACAAACAACAACGACGACAAACAAAACAGCGGACAAATTTGAATTGTTGCTCGTGTCGCCCATCGATCAGGCCACCACTGCGGTACGATTTCCTGCACCGGCTGCACGGTCTTGCCCGCCTGGATCCTTTGTCAATGCGTCCAAAATTTTCAATTCCACCGCCCTGCTCGAGGACAAGTGCGATGCGTGTCCCGTGGACACCTTCCAACCAGACGACGAAGACGACAATCATCGTAATGAATACGCCTGTCGCCCGTGTCCCGAGGGATCAGGTACCGATGGAGAAACGGGAGCGACCATTTGCGTGCAGTTGCAAGACAATCTAGTCTCGGCCGGACTCCATGTCTTTGGATACCTTGTCATGGTCGTGGTCTTTTGCTTGGCCATTGGTTTTGCCGTTTGGACCATCATTCATCGAGAAGATCCCGTGGTGCGGATTGGACAGGTGGAATTCCTCTTGTTGATTTGTTTAGGACCCATCATTTCCAGTTCATCCATTGCACTATTGTCGGTACAGGCAGGGTCTCTGGACGACGAATCTAATGCCAATAGAGCGTGCAAAGCATTGCCGTGGTTGTACACCACCGGATGGATGCTCCAATATGGAAGTCTCAGTGCCAAATCCTATCGCATGTACTCGACCATGAAAGCTGCCGAAACCATGCAGGGAGGAAGAACTGCCCGAAAGTCCTCCGATGTGGTTTCGAGTGGTTCTGCGGCTACACCTTCCTTCACAATTGACGTCAACGAAGCAAGGCTAGCTACGGCCGATGACGATCGGTTGTTGTAGTTGCTGTAGCTATCAGCAGCTTCTTTTGCGGGTGGCTCTGGTGTATCGTCGTCTTCCATGTCATGATTCGAGTTGGGCTCAATGTGCGAGTTGGGCTCAATGTGCGAGTTGGGCCGCGACCGATGACTACTTCCCCTTTTGAAGATGCTCTGTCCGACAGTGACACCCTCCGGTAGTCCCTTTCGACTGTACAGACCTTGGGCGCAAAAATCATGAGCAGAATACCAATGTCGCTCAGTCCGACAATGCAAACGAGCACAATGTAGCTCGCTGCCACGGCATTCTCCCCCACCGCAATCAAAATAGGCACGCCACGATTAGAAATTCACAGGCATACGCCGACGCCATGGCCACATATTTGGATTCCTGATAGCGATCACTAACATTGCGAATCGTGTAGAGCAAATAGTTGGTCACCGCCATGACGACCACCTGCAAGGCCAGGATGGGTCCCGCCCACGAAAAGAAATGATTACAGGAACACCGTCCGTAGGATTCATACGTCAGCACGCCTTGTTCGGTATCGACGGCAACTCCCCGGTCTTGCCGATCCACACCAACGGATCGACGATGTGCCAAGGAATGACAATGGCCCAATTGAGCAGCAACAACATGACAATGATCTTGTACATGTCAAAGACTGTTACAG